TGGATGGAGAAAATGTGGTACATTTGCACAATGGAGTACTACTCAGCAGCAAAAACAAAACAAAACAAAACAAAACAAAACAAAACAAAACAATGGAATATTGAAATTCGAAGGCAAATGGATGGAGGTAGAGGAAACCATCCTCAGTGAGGTAACCCAATCACAAAAAGATAAACATGGTATGTACTCACTCATTTTTGATTTTTAGACATAGAGCAAAGGATCACTAGTCTACAATCCACAGTACCAGAGGAGTTGGAAACAAGGAGGATCACAAGAGAAGATTGTAGAGTCCCTCGATGAAGGGGATGGGGACAAGAACCCCTGACCAAAGTGGGAGCCGGGGGCAGGAACAGGAAGGAGAGCCTTCATCCTGTTGCTGTTCGAGGCAGAGGCTAATACCCACAGCTAAGCACTGAACCACACCTCTGGAATTCAGTTGGGGAGAGGGAGGAGGGATGAGCAAAGGAGCTAAGATGGGGCTGGAGAGACCTGCAGAAACAGTGGACCTGACCTACGGATAGCATGGAGACCCTTGTCATAAAGCTGGAGAAACAGTATTGGACCAAACCAGGCCCTCTGAATGTGAGTGTCAGCTAGGAAGCCAAGGCAGACTATGGGACCTCTAACAGTGGAGCCAGTCTTTATCCCTAGAGCACAATGGACTTTAGGAGCCCATTCCCTATGGAGGGATACTATTGCAGGAAACAAGCCAAACTAAGGCCAAACATTCATAACTAAGAATAAGCCTTCATGAGTGATTTATTTGGGAGATGGGTGGTGGTCCCCCTTAAAAAGAAAAAGGAGCAAAAACATCACACAACAGACCCTAACTAGCATTGTTTTTGTTTTTTTGTTTTTTGCTGATAGCATGCTCAGCCCCTGCTGAAAGTGGAGGCTCCCTGGAACCACAATCTGAGGATATGAAAATAAAACCCTTATTTCAGCTGCTACTTGCACACCAGGTCCTGGGGTACAGTCCCATTCCATTTCTTTGGGCTTGCCCATCAACAATTATGATCTCACTGTGTGTGAACAACAGCTCCCTGTACCTGAAGCACCCATACCTACTCAAGATATTTGGTACTATTTCCTTTTTCCAAAGAACACAAAGTCCCTCTAAGACATCAATTTTCTTTATTATGTACATCCCAGCCATCTACCCATTTCTGAGGCCATGCACAAACACAAAGGTAGGCTTTCTGATGAAAGCTCCAGTCCTCTTGGTGCCTTCCAGGATGCCAGTACCACAACAAACCACTAATACTTCTTTTTACTGCAATTGGGGCAACTTCAAAAGAAACTCACAACTTACCTTCATCTTTATCCCCAGAGCATAGTACACAGTGGGAGCCAGAGACAAAGTAAGTATAGGTATCAGGAGAAGGAAGGTGTTTCAACACCTGGCCGTGTGTGTGTGTGTGTGTGTGTGTGTGTGTGTGTGTGTGTGTGTGTGTGTGTCTTTGTACATGTCCAATGAGGCTAGACCTCACTAGATTCATGGGAATTACCACTTTGTCTAGTGAAATGCTCTTCACTACCTAACAGGAAACCATGTGTCTTTAAGGAAAACCTGCAGAGGACCACCTCATCATTGTTGAACCTTTCTATACTACCCAAAGGAAAGGGGCAGCTCTCCCTTCTTCCTTCAGACAGCTGTCTGCCATTAC